ACCGTATCCAAAGAACTCAAAATTTCATACATATAATTTTGTATAAAATGATTTCAATTTTTCTGAACTATTACAGTAAGTCTTTAAAAAAACAAGAAGGCGAACAATACCAAGACTAAAACGAATCTACTGGTGAATAGCAATATCAAGACCAAGACTAGTTGTAGGTATAAATCAAGACTAAGATTAGTCTGAAAATGTTACTATTTTCTGTTCTAAAAGTATATAAATGAACTAGCATCGAAACCCGGCGTTGGTCGGGTTAAATTAATTGCAGACATTTGGAACTTTCCAGATCATTCCGGATATTTCTAGAACTTTCTGGAACATTCCATATCGATTTTAACAGTTGCACACAATTTGGAACTTTCTAGATCATTCCAGAAATTTTTAGAACATTCTAGATCGATTGTAACAGTTGCACACATTCTGGAGTTTTCTGGATCATTTCAGAAATTTTTAGAACTTTTCAAAAGGTCTCATAAGTTAGAAAAGGACAGATATATATTTTTTCACATTGTTGCCACACACTTCCACCCACCGCGACCTAACTCCCTTACTTTCAGCAGGACACCAAGGGGTATTTACAACCCCAACGTTGTTGAAGTTGATAAGAGTTGGTGGTGATAGAGAAAACCCTGTCTTTACGTACGCACATTAGCATTTTATACATATATTTAGATTTTCGGGAAAGTGGAGCAAATGTAACCCCGTTCTTAGCCAAGTCCCTAACAAAAGTAAAATTTTTATTCGCTCCATTATTTTATAACAAGTGTATTAATCCAGTAAACTTTTCTTTAATTTTAGTAATGAATTTAGTAGAGCCGTAGCGGAAGAATATTTAAAATATTTTAACTTCGAACATGATACATTAGATGTAGCGCTAAGAAAGTTCCTCAAACAATTCTCTCTAACTGGTGAAACTCAAGAAAGGGAAAGAGTATTGGTACACTTTTCTAAGAGGTATTTGGATTGTAATCCAGGGTGTTTTAACTCACAAGGTAAATAAAAATTATTTAGTCATGTCTAAGGATTGTACTTGATGACAACGATCATTTTATAATTCGATTTCCATTTCTGTCACTTTAGTCCAGTCAACGAGGCTCTTTTTCCATTGAAAATGAACATTTCCGTTACGATCCAATTTTATTTTTGGTAAACCATTAAACAAATACGCTGTCTAATGTCTCTAATAAGCCCATCATGCCTGAGAAGGTGTCCTATCCATCACGTCTTTTTCTGATTTCTTTCTAGTATCTCCTCATTTCTAACCGTCCTCTATCCATGTTTCGCACCCGTACAGCGTCGCGCTCCAAACAATATTTTTCGAATTTCGAAATTAACCGTTCGCGAACATGGATGTGACTTCTTTTGGTTGAAGGCGACCCCGACCTTGCGTTATCCTCTGTTTTATAATTCTACTGCGCCTTCCATCCTGACTTAGTGGAAAAAAAAACATTTTTTTACTTTTTGTGAAAAATCTCATTTCCAATGCGTTTTTCGTCATATGTATCTTGCATGTTTTTTGTTCCACATGGCGCTGGTTGGATGTCGCTAAGTGCGATCGGATTTGTTTTCCCCTTCACTGAAAAATGCGCATTTTTTTTGTAAATATTTTGTAACGATTTTTTTGGCAACATCTTCGTTTATCCGACGTATAAAACCAACTTTAATCGTTAGTTAGCCACTCATTCAAATAAAAAACAAAGATTAAAAAAAATGAATGTTCTAGAACCTTCTGGAACCGAGATAATTTATTTTAACCTACAATTAACTTACAAAAAATATTCTGAAAAGCGGATATTTTGCAAAAAATAAAAAGCAAACGTCTTTTTGACTAATTGTTCAATTAAAAGATGTTGCCCCAACATCTCAGACTGTACATAACAAAATTCAGAATCAGCGTATTTTTTTTTTTTACTATTTTACCAAAAATAAAATGAGGTCATGTTGCTTCTTTGACTGAGCTACTTTTTAAAATATCATTTCATGATAACAAGAAAAAAAAAAGCCAAAATGAGATCTAAAAGTACTCATATTACTACAGTAATCAATATCAACGTTTCGCATTTTGGCATAAGACTTTTTTCTTGAGGCAAATTGCAACTTACTTTAAAAAATGCGAGACGTCGGTGTTGGTTGCTGTAGGGAAAGTATTTCTTGTGCCCCCATTTTACCTTTGACAACTTTATAATATTTTAGACGCTGTACACACACTGACATGTGCAATTATGTTGCTTAATACGGACATTCACGGACAGAACATGAATAGGAAAATGACTTGTAATGAGTTCATCGAAAATTTAGCTGGTCTTAATGAATGTGACAACTTTCCGAGAGAAGTTCTCAAGCAACTTTATTATGCAATTAAAAACTTTCCGCTGGAATGGGCGTTGTAAGTATAACCAGGGGCGTACACAAAATTTCGGGGGTTCAGCTCGTTAAGAAAAAATGCCCACATAATTAAAAATTTTTTCTTTTTTTTTTTCGATTATTTGCTCTTGACGCAAAAGCACTTTTTTTTTTATTAAGTTCTAACAACCTTTTATTATATTTTCTTGATTTTTTGGGAAGCATACAATTTAAAAAATACAATAACAATGGAATGAAGAATAGGAGCCCATGATCCTCATCATAAATTAAGCGAGTTACACTGGATATTTTAATGAAATCTGTAATTTTAAAAAGTCCAATGTATTTTGGTGAGGCAGTTTCTCCTTTTCTTCACCCTTTTTGTGCGCCACTGATAGGTAGTTCTTTCTACAAGAAAATAACATTCTCCTGATTAATGTGGAGTTATGGAGTTAATACAACCACTTTACTCTTAATGAAACTTCGTGTAACTTTAAGGCGTTTAAATAAGAATGATAAATGGTTCAAATAATTTGGGTTTTATAGGGACGATGATATTGAAGAAAATGCATCACAAGTACAAAATAAGCCTCTTGAAGGTGGAATTGGTAATAATCCTTTCTTGGACGTTCCTAACACTGCTAATGCTGTCGAGTACAAAAAAGGCTATGTAATGAGAAAATGCTGTTACGATAGTAATGCCAAAAGAAGTGAGTATATAATAATAATTGAGGGGAAATTACATACGGAATATAGGGAATTTATATGTTTATTTGTGGATTTATTCACCAAGCCTTCCTTCTTGTTGTTCTTGGCCAGAAATTTACCAAGAGAGTCGCACTTATTAGATTTCTTCAGGTTGCTATAGTTCCTGCAGAGCGAGTTGATGTAATATCCAAATAGAGAGAGTATATCGCCATCTAGTGGGCATTTCCTGCTACTAATGTTACGTCGTTGATGCAGTTAAATAAATTGACAATTGTTTAACGCTTGAAATACTTCAATAGCACCAAATATCCATTAGATGGTGATAGTACCTTCCATATTAGTAATATTTCAAATATTCAGTCTATAAATCCCGTTTCTAATCCAAAAATCTAATCTCATATGATAAAAAAAATCCATTTGGAATAGTTTTAAAGTTCCCTCCTTCTTGGGTATATATCATAAAATTGATTACAAAACTTTTGCTGTGCCGGGAAAACCCCAACTGTGAAGAAGTTTCATTCCAAAACTTTGAATAACCCAACGTTAGTAATTTTGAAATTACACATTTATAGATTCCTGATTCTTCATATCATAATAGAAGTAAAATTATAAACCATCTTCACTATACTTCTTCTAAATGTGTCATTAAATGATTCTGGGATTTGGTCTGATGTAAGCTAAAAACGGTCATCTTTATTTAGAAGCGCTAAGTATAGCTTTAAAGATTCCCCATTTGTCCTCATAAGAAGTACCTATTTTCTTTCTTGGACCTATATCAATAACAGATTTAAAAATCTAACCTAATCGGAGCTAAAATCGAGTCCCCTTATTTAGAAGTAGTAAGTAAGGGTACCTAATTTTAAAGGTTCTTCATGTGAATAGATCCATCATCCATCTTCGATCTACTATATTTCATAAGGTTTGGAATTTCATCCTTAGAAATTACACGACGAAACTGTAAAGAGGTTCCATTTCAAAACATTGAATAATCCAGCATCAATATAATAGAAAAATTCTTCATCCTTGATGTCAGAATTGATCCAAAATTTCAAACTTCAAACGACCTTTACCAGACTTCTTCTTCCAAATGTATCAGTAACAGATTCAAAAACCTCTAGCCTCACCTGCGCTAAAATGGGGCCCCCTTGTTTAGAAATAGTAATTAAGGGTATCTAATTCCTCATGTGTCTTCAACTGGAATAGAACTTTTATCCTTCTTACATCTATGTCGCAAAATTTGGAACCTCATCCTTTAGAGATGCAGGTCAAGCTAGGAAATAGTTCTATTTCATAACATTAGTGAATGATCCAATGCAAATAGACCTTGTACAAATTTTGTAATTAAGAAGTTTCGTAGATCTTGATGTCGCTTCAAAGCAAAATAGTTTCGAAGGTCTTTGCTGCATCTTTCTAGCTCCATTTCACAAGCGAAGTTGGAAGATGTTCTACTGTACCGTTCGAGATCTCGTCCTCTACTTACACAAAGACGAGAATGGTTTTCGAAAAAGTCAGATGAGCGACAATTTGCACAACGCCATCCGAATACATCACGCCCTAGCCACCAAAGCAACAGATTATACCAAAAAGCAGTTCGTCTTCAGGTTACAGACTGCAGATCAAGCTGAATACTTGTTCCAAACTAGGTACCAAAACAATACCGATACATAATAATAATCTTTAATGATAATGTGATTCTTTTTTCCTTTTCATTCAAAGTGATTCGAAGGAACTGCAGTCGTGGATAGAGACGATCAATTTCGTATGTGCAAGTCTGTCTGCACAGCCTCTGGAAGCGGCCGTTGGTTCCCAGAAGAAGTTCCAAAGACCGTTACTACCATGCAGTCGCACAAAATTGAACCTGGTAAGATGCTACATTTACTGACGTGGGACAATTTAGGAAGGCGAAGTCTTTTCTTAATGTGGGTCAGTTTAGGAAGGCGAAGTCCGTACTTCGTGATAGATGAAGTGGATTAAAAGACCTACCCATGGATTAAAAGACCTCCTAATATATATTTATAACATATCCTCTATTAACAGAGACGCCAGAACAAGCTATTTAAGGACGATGATTGGATGAGCCGAATTGTAAGACGTGTACAAGATGAATTCAAAATAGATCTTCCACTAACAGTTCAATATTTTACTGTGGATGTCGCCGTCCTAAATAGACCCTAGTGCGCTTATTTTCGAGTTTGTTGTTCAATAATAAAATGAACATTTTAAATCTGTTTCAGCGTGAGCAGTTGCATGATCATGAGGAGAGAGTTATTAGACTGGAATTAGAATTGGAGGAACACAGGAAGATGGCACCAGAAAAAGGGTCAAAGTCATTGGTGATACAAAATTATAAGGAAAAAGAGAATTATTTGTTGTATGAGGTAAGAAATTGTTTGAAATTAAAGGAGATTGTGTATGCCCAAAGTGATATTTTTGTGGAAAGCTTATTCTCTACAAAGTTGTTCACAGGGTTAACTCTACTAGCTTTGTAGTTTTTGACTCTTGAGCCCGCGAGATTTGGAGATCAAAAATTAATAAAAATCATAATACGATTATAAAATATCACAAATGGCGCGATAAACGCCATCTGTAGTACAATGCTACATTTTGGGATTACGTATGCTCCAACAAGGTCCATTTAAATATATGGATATCTACTTGCTGAAACGAATCCCGGCGTAGCTCACCTCAACGTGATAGGCACGTTACCATAATGGAATAAAATAATTCGAAGTGGTCTGTATTCTGTCGAAACTGCCAGACGCGGATCGCGATTTCGATCTTTTTGGATCTCATCAGCGCGTCGCAGGCAGCTCCGACAGAACACAGACCAACTTTTACCTGCTGTCTTAACAGCGCGTTTTAGAAAATACCACAAATGGCGCGGTAAACGCCATCTGTAGTGCGATGCTACATTTTAGGATTACGTATGCTCCAACAAGGTCCATTTAAATATATGGATATCTACTTGCTGAAACGACTCCCGGCATAGCTAACCTCAACGTGATAGGCACGTTACCATAATGGAATAAAATAATTCGAAGTGATCTGTATTTTGTCGAAACTGTCAGATGCGGATAAAGATTTCGATCTTTTTGGATCTCATCAGCGCGTCGCAGACAGTTTTGACAGAACACAGACCAGTTTTTACCTGCTGTCTTAACAGCGCGTTTTAAAAAATACCACAAATGGCGCGGTAAACGCCATCTGTAGTACAATTGGACCTTGCTGGAGCATACATAATCCTAAAATGTAGCATTGCGCTACAGGTGGTGTTTACCGCACCATTTGTGGTATTTTATAAAACACGCTGTTAAGACAGCAGGTAAAAGTTGGTCTGTGTTCTGTCGGAACTGTCTGCGACGCGCTGATGAGATCCAAAAAGGTTGAAATCGCGATCCGCGTCTGGCAGTTTCGACAGAATACAGACCACTTCGAATTATTTTATAATACGATTACCTAAACGTCTGCATTTGATGAATGAATCATTGAATAAATTAAAACGATCTCCATCGAGAAGATTTTATTCTAAAAATTTTCAAAATTGTTAATTTTTCTTAGTCAGCAAAAGAAAATCAAATGCCAAACACGATTTAGAACTTATTAGTTCTATTAGCGCATACTCTATGCAAACAGGTTGATTAATATCAAGTAACTAGCAATATAGTGCCATCTGTCTTTATTCGCTACTAACTAACTTTAGTACTTCGGTAATTTTTGACGAGACCTTAGTACAATTTAATGAATTTTCTTTTTCAGTTAAAGAGATACAAAACGTACGTGAACACCCTGCAGTGTCGCCTGATTCAGCATCCGGAAATAGGTGTTAGTTTGGCAGAAAACAGTATTGGGGAGATGGACGAGGCTGGCGGTGTGGCGCTGATCGAGAGTCCCCCCGAAGGCATCGTGCCTCCCCCCATTCCCGATCGACGTTCTCCAGTCACGAATAGGTACAGTTACAGACAAGCTATTTACAGTCGAAGTATTCCAAACGGTGATGCCGAAATAGGCTGACGGGTTATGGGGTTGTTTTCAGCATGCGTGCTTTAAAGTAATATAAAATTAAATTAAAATTAAACTAAAAAGTAAAAATTACCTACGTACATACATACATATATATGATGAGAGGGTTTTTGGATTATTTGTAAAAACAGACACACGAAGAGGCAATTAAAAGTATATTTTGATATCGGGTTGGACGTTGCGGATCGATTTTTTTGAAATACGAAATATAAAAATAAATTAATATAATAATTAAGTAACGCGAAAATAATTGTGGCAAAG